CGACATTATTAAACTCACCCTAGAGCGATCATTAAAAGCATTTTAGTGTTGCCCCCTCCATCCATCCAGGAGATGATACTTGTTTAGGGCAATTTGTACTAAAAGTCATTAAGTCTTTATATTTTTATTATGTCGCATTTCCTGTAGCCCTTTGATCTTTATAGATAAAAGATAAAAAGGAGCATTTTGGACCTTTTGGATGGGTGAGATTTTGAGTCTTCTAAGCATTTCTTTATTGATTTTTCTCTAGCATATTAATTTCTCTTCATTCTCATATAATTTATAAGTCACCCCTCATAGAGTTCGCATGATAGTAAGGTTTGGTGTCATCCACAGGTAGATTTGGATCGAACATCCTCTAAGGTGCGGATACCATGGATTGATTCCAGTGATGAGAAGATAGGCCCAACCCAATAATCTGAGTGCCCCTGAGCCCTCAGCGAACATAGAGAATCTAAAGTACACTACTCATTGAGCCTTAATGGAGATAGAAGAGAGGTGGATGAAAATGATCCAGCATGCCTTGGGAGGATACTAAGGTGAGCATAGAGGGATAACACGTTAAAGGATCATTTGAATCGGCAATTTAACATACGATACATGATGCTAAAGCATTAACCTCAATATTAGTCCCTAATTCCACTCGCTTAATGATGAGTACTAAAAATACAACTGACATGCCCGACGAGTTAGAAAGACTGAACCCCAATTTACAAATACGTTCTCAAGGGATATCATAGAATCTTGGCCGCCTCCTAGGTTTATGATGACACATTGAAAGTCTTATAAGTGCCAAAATTGATTCAATGGACTATGTAGCCACCTTTCATTCCCTGACCTCCTTGCTGAATATTAATGATGTCCTTAAGTGTCGTTTGTTTCTCATAACACTTAAGGAATTTGCAGCGGTGTAGTTCACTCGCCTGCCATTAGGGGTGATCACCTCCTTATATGAATTTAACAAGAAGTTTGATGCACAATTCGCAAGAGTCCAAATAGCCTTAGAAAACTTCACAGGCCCATTGAAGATGAGACAAGAGCTAATAGTGTCACTTAGGAACTTCTTTGTAGTTTCTAAAGGGAGATTGCTCGAAGTTAAAGATTTAGAACCTGTAGTTGCCCAATCCATCTGCTTTTATTGAAAGAGGGTCTCTTTTGTTTTGCATTGGTCCTACAATTGTCGAGAACACTCACAGAAGTGTTGGGGTTGGCCAACAATCATGTTAGTGCTAAGGAGTACAACAAAGCAGTCGAGTCCCCTATGGTTGCTTGCCTATATGAACTCGCTTCTACTAGAGATTAATAATGAGGGAAAGAAAAAAAGTTTATCTTAGGGATAAGAGGGACAAAAAAAACTCAATCCACCATGAGACCACAATCGCCCAAAGCACCATAGAATGCCCATGCAACCTTGGCCACTAAGGATTACAGGACCACCTAAGCCAATGGTGGAGTCTCCTTGTGCCACTCACCTCTATCATAGGCCCAATTTCTATCAATGAGCTTGTCCCAGCTCGCTTAATCAGCATAACGGGAGTGATACCCACCATCATGGGTGGAGAGTGAGTTAATTTGTTGACGATTATGAATAAAATGAAATTTGGAGAAGTAAACTCGGTGTCTACCTCACTAGCTCCAACAGTAGGCATTGCCCCAGTTACTTTTAGAGAGGATGAGAAACCTGCTAGAGGGAACCTGCATAATAATTCTTTATTGTCATAGCCTTGATCATCAACGATCAGATCAACAATATTCTAATAGGAACAGGGAGTTCTATCAACTCACGCCTACTACAGATCTCCTATATGGCTTCTTAGGAGAGTGCAAGGAGATAAAAGGAGTAGTTGCCTTGTCCATTAATTGGGCCGAAGGCGACAACCAATATTATACACCCTTGTTTGCTTACGTAGGTACCTTCTCATAGGTATCTTACAGGTCATTTTCTGGTTGCACGGAAGAGAATTCATCCCCCTCCTCTGCGATACTCTGTTCAAGGGACTCACACAAGAGCTAAGAAATAACTAATCATTAAAGCATGACGGACCACCTCTAGCTACATCCTTCAAGCATTCGTCCTCCTCACGAGGGAGACCATGGAAGTTCCTCTTTCAACCGGATAAGTCTTTATTCATCTCGTACAAAGTCAAGTCTTTTATACGGAACATATAAAATGTCAAGCTAAAGGCACATTTCTCGTCCACAAGTCCTTCAAATCACCGCCAAGCTCAGAGATCCGCTACAACCCTCTACTCACTCCCTTTCACTCCAATGGAATGACACCAATCCACATCTCATTCAACATCAGCTTGATCTCAGAAGATCCACATGAAGACCTTACTCACCCTTTCTCAGCTCAACATGGTGACGTCAAAATCAACCTCCTACCCAATGCTAACTCTTTCACAAGATCGCCACGCCACTCGGCATAGCCGACTGAGCTCTATTGTAAGCCAACTGACCGACCTCCTCTCCAAGTAGGAGAACCCTGATGGATGACTAGTTGTAAAAATAACAAGTCTCATAATTGAAGAAAAATAAGAAGAAGAAATCATGCAGATTGAAAATAATTGCCCAACAAATTAGCTAGATCCTTTATTGGATTACATGAAGGCAGGAGCAATAAGTAGTTAAGTTGGTGATAAAAAGAGATTCAAAATAAAGGTGGACTACTTCTTAATATTTGGAGGAGAATTTTTATGGAGATTATTGATTTCATTTAACCTCAAATGTGTTAGAGAAGATAAGAATGAGACTATTCAGGGGGATTCAATGAGGTGAGTGTGGAAGATGTAGAGGAGTTTTCAAGGTGGCGCCCTTAGTGAAAAAATTCACCCATCAAAAATACATGGTCTTGTGTTATGTGGGAAATGAATTTGCTAAGACCTTTCCCACCTACTGGATAAAGAAAGCTTGTATTTGTTATAATAGACTATTTCATTAAGTAGATTGAAGCTAATGCACTCATCAAGACAATCTCTACTATTATCGAAAACTTTATATGGATTGACACAATCTTTAGACGTGGTGTGTCTCGCCCAATATCATAGATAATGGACTCCAACTTGTTGATATGAGCTTGAAGGCATGTGTAAATCACAAGGATCGTCTCAGTCCATCACCCACAAATAAAAGGTCAGGTTGAAGTTGCCAATAAGCAAATCCTCAACCTCTTGAGGAAGTGGATGGGGCAAAGGGCAAGTGGATGGTTCGCTATTTTTTGTATTATGGGCACTGAGGACAATTCCCAACTTAGTCATAGAGCACATGCCATTCTCACTCTCTCATCGCATTAGGGCACTGTTACTTGTTGAGCTCGAATTACATAGTCAACAAGTGATCGCCACTACTTATTATGAAGAAAACAAACTTAGCGAGTTGGAGCTGAGGAATTAAGAAGTCCTTGAGTCTGTCGTCGACCTCTTAAAAGTTCTTAGAGCACAAGCTACACTTTGAAAAGGAGGAGGATGGCTAAATAATACAACTCGCATGTCAAAGAAAAAGCTTTCCAACCAGGCGACAATGTCCTCAAGTAGGCAGACTCTGCTGCTCGCCAATCAATCTTTAGCAAGTTGGCATCCACATGGTTCATTTTCATTACAATCCCGTGTCTAATCTATGTAGCACCTGTAAGTCAAGTCTATATGACACTCAAAGGCCTAAAGATGTTTGAAAAGTAGGACTATAACTGTGAAAGCCACTATTTATAGGGAGCTAAGGAGAAGGTGGCATCACATCAATTAAAGCAACTATCAATGCTACAATAATCAAGGTAGTAATTTCGCATTTACTTTCTTATTAATGTTTGGCAGCCTTATCAAATACTCATTATTTTCATTCACTTGTCCTCTTTGTCACTCGCCCATGAATCGAGAAACTAATCAAATGTATCTTCACAGGTGCTCAGTTGATTGTCGGTGAGCTGTAATGAAGGAACCTATGCCTACTTGGACCCATAAGTGAACTCGCTTAATTGTCGGCAGGCATTACTCGACTGTGAAACATAACAAAATTTGCCCAAATGATTAACAAACACTACTCGTCCAGACCTACAAAAGGAGATACTCCCTTATTGGGGGCGATCAAGGGCCATTCACAAATCAAGTGACGTGCCACTCGCTATATAAGAAGTTAGCTGGCAAGGCCACTCGATCTCATTGAGAGCAGATATTCTCACTCATGCTCATGAAGCTAGACTACAGGACAGGAAAGTGTCCACTCACGTGGCCCTCTATTTATCTTGCCACAGCTATCCCACATAAATCTCTCCCTTTCTCCTATAATTTCTTACCCGCCTCTCTGTTTTGTGGTAAACCAAGGCCCTCAACATAGGTTGCCAGCAACTCCAACAAGCTTGCTAGTCGTAGGCATCGTCGGCTCAGCACTCATCGATAGACTCGCCCAAGCATACTTGGTTGAACCTACATGGCACTGTTGAACTCATTCCATAGGTAGCTCATTAAAAGCTGTTCAATGCCACCCCCTCCAGCCATTTAGGAAGCGATACATGTCTAGGATAGTATGTACTAAGATTCATTAAATCTATGTTTTTATTCTTTTTTATTTTAGCCTTTCCTTTAGCTCTTAGATCCTTATAAATAATGGGTGTAAATGAGCATTTTGGATCTTTTGATTGAATTGTATTTTGAGCCCCCTCAACATTTCTCTACAGATCTTTCTCTAGCATACTAGTTTCACTCCATTCTAACACAGGTTCTACACCAACCCTCATAGAGCTTGCCTACTAGTTAAGTCGGGTGTTATACATGGACAAATTTGCATCCAACAAAGGCCATTATCTTCTTGATGTGCTGCATCTTAAATGGTGCTTTATTAAATCCTATGCTGTTTTGGCCTTCTGGGTTTTATTTTCTAAATTCTGAATGTCTTACTAACGTTTTTTGAATATAAATGTGGTTTTCCTGGGAACTTTAATTGTTCATTATAAGAAAATGGTTATGTTTCATTTCATTGGATGTAATTCTTGTACTGTTTTTTGGCAGTTAAAGAAGGAACTAAAGAAGGGTCGGGCTTTTGATGGATGGTCAGAAGGTATAATCAATTTTCCGCCTACTTACAAATACGACCTTAACTCCGGGAAATACATTGGAGTGGATCCAAAGGTTGGGAGAAGAACTCCAGCATGGTATGGCCTTAATATTGAAGTATGAAAGCTTCTATGGGCTACCGCATTATATGTTTGGGTACTTGGCATTTACTGTATGTCATGTTGCAAACTTTATTAAACCTGTTAAAATTTGAATATCAAAATATTTGATACTTCATCTATCATATTTTATGGAATTTAGAAAAAATGGAAGTTGCTTGAACGGCTGATTGTTCCAAATGATCTTCTGATAAAATAAACCGCATGTTGAATATATTTTGCATATTGCAATTTAGGCACTGAGAAGTTGATTTTTCTATTTACGTTCTTTCAACTTAAAGTATTCATCAATGCTTGTAGTGGATTCTTTGAGGGATTGTTTGGAATTTGTTTATTTGTATGCTTGCATGCAGAAGCATTTTCTATTGATATCCTATATTTAATCTCTCTCTCTCTCTCTCTCTCTCTCTCTCTCTCTCTCTCTCTCTCTCTCTCATCCTTGCATGTTTGGTGGCCTGGAAACTTTTCATTCTCAATATTTTTTGTCTTTCGGAAAGCTTACAATGGAAATGAACTATTTGGTGGATCTTACGGGAAAACTTCAATTAAAATGCTGATTCATTAGATTTCTTTCTTAAGCCTCAATATCAAACAATTTGCTTTGTTTTTTTTATTTACATTAAAATCGTATGCTGAAAAAAGGCCTTTCAAATCACGAAAAATCCTACGCGTGAATTTTGGTGCTACCGCAATATATGCACAGATTGTAGCCAAATGAGGATGTTGACTCAGCTTCCAATTAAATTGTCTGGTAGTTCAAAATTTAAAAAAGTAATTTTTTTTTTCAGGTGTGACCGTATCCTATCATTTGGCAAAGGTATAAGGCTACTGGGCTACAAAAGAAGTGAGCTGAAGCTTTCTGATCATCGCCCAGTTACTGCAACTTTCCTGGTTGACATTGAGATGCTTTCTCGTAGAAAGCTGCAGAGGGCCCTTACTTTCACGAACGCTGAAATAGAGGAAGGAGATAATTTGACCGATGAAGATGTAGATGACGAAATGAGTCTGTTGCGACTAGGCGAGGCAAGTTCCATTCACATACATGATTGTTATTTGTGTTTAGATATCACTTCAAGCAATTATCATCATTATTAGCCTAATCCAAACCAGCTTGGAGTCAACTTTATGAATTCTTATTCTTTCTGTTGTGTTGAAGGATTTTAGACTTATTTTTTCATGAAATTTTTCACATCTATCTATTTAACTTTGGTTTACACTCTTCTTCTCCTTCAACAATAATTTTAATTGGCCATATTACTGATACATTGTCAACTTTTTTTTGTGGATCTCAAATCAATCAAGTCATATTTTTCACTTATTTTTTCATAGAATTCTTTTAATATAATCAATATTCAATCTATGATATTTATTATTGTCATGTATTCATATTAATATCTAAAACGTCTTGGTTAGAAAATATTAGAAATGGTCTCTCTTTATTAGATTTAAACAAGAACTTGACTTTTAACAGGACAAAATGGAGATAAAGGATTCATGTAGCCGACCCCATTTTGTGGGACAAAGGCTTATGTTTTTGTTGTTGTTGTTGTTATTGTTTGTGTATTCATATTAATATTTTGATTTTTGTTATATTCAATTTTTTTTTTTTTTTTTTTTTTTTTAATCTCCCAACACTTGACCCATATAATATATTAAGTCTACTTGTAATTTTAAAAAAATTCTTTCAAGCCTTCATAATATGCTCTTGTAGAATGTTTTGAACTTGCAGCATTGTATTACAGAGGTACTTCCTTTTAGCAATTCACCATACTTTGGGAATTTATTTTTCAATCAATATTCTCATTTTTTATATGATTAATGGATTCAAAGTATTTAAGTCTATCACATATAAATAACAGTAAATGGTAATTATTAATGAATGCTATAGTAAAATTGTATCATATCCAGCTATTCAATATGGTTCAAAATTAAGGTTGCTTGTTTAGATTTTGTTGAAAACCTTGCAAATGCTTATGATAATATTCTTTGTTATCTGTTTGCTTTTGTAGGAAATCAAAGAGCAGGACTGTTATAGGTAGTATGAAATGCCTTTGGTATTGAAGATTGGAATCTCCAGCAATGAAACTTTTCTATCTTTCTGAGGCCTGCTCCCCTATGAAGATAAGCTTTGCACATGCAGTATAGTTCTGTTACTCTGTTCTGCTGGTGTTATGCAGTTTTTCCATTTTTGTTTTGTTTTTTTTTTTATAATTTATTTTTGTCTTTGTACAGATATTTCTGATAGAAGTTAAAAAAAAAAGTCTTATCACATGGTTATCAATTTGGTTTTTAATTTCTGAGAATTCCTGTGGGTACGAATTCTCAAACCCAGCCAAAATTACTGTTGATCAGATACATTGATGAATATATATATATATATATATATAAGAACAAATAATATGTGAAATTTAATTCCAGATCCATCTAAATAATTATCCAATCCTGACAGCCCTAATGCTAAGCTGAATCAATCCTCTTAAATCCTTGTTCTTGAAACTTGGCTAGATTACGCAATGCTGATTTGGCTCTTGAAGTTATGGTTGTAATTTCTATAGTTTTGTAGGTATCTTGTTTAGTTTCGATCAACTTTTATTTGTCAAAAAATAAAAATACTAAAAAGGCAACTCTTACATTATAAATTTATCGTGAATATGATAAATTTTTATTAAGTTCCTATTGAATTTTGTAGCTTCAGACAAATTTGGTTGATTTTTATTTAGATTGGTTCAATTATTTTAATAGTTTTTTTATTTCTTATAAAATTTCCGCTGGATTTGAATGAATCGAAGTAAGAAATCCAAAAATGTAAAAATGGATTAGTTTCTTCAAGTTAAACGCCCTGCTCACTGAAGAAACGCAAGAAACGTAGCAGATAGAAGAGTTTGAGAAAGAAATGAAAAACAATATTATTGACCGATCTTATTATAGGGAACCACGGACTGTATATATAGACTTGTCTTAGAGCTGCAGCCTGTACAGGTTATATCAAAATAAACATACACGTTATTAACAGAAATTACATAAAGACCTATTGCTCTAATACCCCCTTGCAAACTAATGGGTCTTCCACGACTGTTAGTTTGAGGCGTAAATGTTGAAACCGCGGTGTAGACAGTGACTTTGTAAAAATATCGGCAATTTGGTCGGTAGTGCTAATGGGTAGCAGGTTTATGTTGTGTTGCTGAATTTGTTCTTTGAGGAACTTTTGGTCAATCTTTATGTATTTTGTACGTGCATGGAACATAGGATTGTTAGCTAGAGCAATCGCCGATATGTTGTCGCAATATAGTTCGGTGGGGCGCTCTTGATTGATATCGAATTCGGCAAGGAGTCGTCGGAGCCATATGATATCCGAAGTTAAGGCAGCCAAGGCGCGATATTCGGATTCAGTGGAGGAGCGTGCTACAGTGTGTTATTTCTTGACTGTCCATGAGATGATGGTATCTCCCAAGAACGAGCAGTACCCGGAGGTAGATCTTCTAGATGTGGGATCACCAGCCCAATCCGCATCTGAGTAGGATTTTAAAAGTATGTTAGTTTTGGTAACTGGTATTCCAAAATATAACGTACCTTTGATATATCGGAGGATTCTTTTTAACAAATATATGTGTTGAGGTAGGGGATTTTTCATATGTTTTGAGAGAATGTTGACACTGTATGCTATGTCGGGACGAGTGAGCGTCAAGTACTGAAGAGAGCCGGTGAGACTGCGGTACAGAACTGGATCCGTGAGAAATGGTTCATTGCTGAATTCAAGAGGCAGCTTGGAGCAGTTTGGATTGGCCACGGGATTGCACTTTGTCATATTGGCTTGTTGAAGAATATTCAGAGCATACTTGGGTTGGGACAAAAAATAACTATCCTGAAGATGAGTTATTTTAATCCCCAGGAATTCGTTAACTTCCCCCATGTGTTTCATTGCAAATTCTTGGCTGAGCCGAGCCAAGATTTCTTGAATAAGGTTTTGATCATTGCCCGTAATCAAAATATCATCCACGTAAATTAATAGAAATATTTGGACTTTGTTTTTATGGAAAATCAATAAGGAAGAATCGGCTTGACTGTGCGAGAAACCAAGAGAAGTAAGAAATAAAGTAAACGTGTTATACCATTGTCGTGGAGCTTGTTTCAAACCGTAGATAGCCTTGTGTAGACGACAAACGTGGTTCGGGAATGCTTTATCTTCGAAGCCCTTTGGTTGGTGCATATAGATCGTTTCGGACAGATTGCCATGAAGGAAGGCATTTGCTACGTCTAACTGCTGAACCGGCCACGCATGATACAGAGCAATCGCCAAGAGTATACGTATGGTTGGAAGTTTAGCCACAGGGCTAAACGTTTCAGTATAATTTATCCCAAATTCTTGATGATTACCTTGGGCGACTAGCCTTGCTTTGTATCTAGCTATGGTTCCGTCGGCATGAAATTTTGTTCGGTATGTCCACTTGGCTCAGACGGATGACTTGACATAGAGGTAGTAGGCTGAGTGATGCTGGAAGGCCGAGAGTGATAAGTTTGAGTAAAGGAGATGTGAGGATTTACTGGAGTGATATTGGGAATAGAATTGGAATTAGTATGTGAACGAGAGATAGAGACGGGTGTTAGAAACAGCGGTGAAGGTGTAGTGATCGTGGGTTTGGAGGAATTTGAGATCTGAGAAAACGGAAAGATTTGTTCATTAAAGATGGTGTGCCGAGAAAGAGTAATCTTGTTTGTGGAGTAGTCCAGGCATTTATAGCCCTTGTAGGTGTCAGAGTAGCCCAAAAATATGCACGGCTTGGATTTGGGCTAAAGTTTATTATGGTCATTGGATAGGTTTAGTGGAAAACACTCACATCCAAAAATGCGAAGGTGACCATAGTTTGGTTTGGTGTGATGTATAAGTTCAAAGGACGATATATTATTTGTCGTCGGAGATGGAAGACGGTTGATGAGATACACCGAGGTAAGCATAGCATCTGGCCAAAAACTTTAAGGAACTGATGATGTATGAAGAAGTGTGCGTGTGGTCTCGACTATGTGTCTATGCTTACGTTCCGCCAAACCATTTTGTTCTGGCGTGTAAGGACAGGAGATTTGGTGAAGAATTCCGTTTGTTCGGAGAAATTGTTGAAACGCATTATTGACATATTCGGATCCACCGTTGGTTCGGAGATCTTTGATGCTCGCTGAGGTAAATTTTTCCACCTGAGTTTTAAAAGCAATGAATGTATTTAGAACCTCAGATTTATGTCGTAATGGAAACAACCAAGTATATCTGGAGAAATCGTCAACAAATATTACGTAATACCGATATCCTTGAGATGAGACAACGGGAGCTGGCCCCCAGACATCTGAATGTATAAGGGCCAGTGCTTGCTTGTCTGTTTGAGGATTTTTCAAAAATCAGTTTATGACATTTAGAAACATTGCAAGATTGACAAGATAGAGAACGTTTATCAATATCTAACGTAGGATTACAACGAGAAATTAAATCTAAAATGCATTTATGCGGGTGGCCGAGTCGCCTATGCCACGAATTTATTGTATTGCTGGAGATCGATAATGCGCAATCTGAAATCTTGGAATTCTTGATCGGTATTGAGTAAAGGCCATCTTTAGAGGGGCCACGAAGTATGATTTCCTGTGTCGTCGTATCCTTCAAAATAAAGCCAGACGGGTCAAAGATAATGGAAACATTATTGTCGCGAGTTAACTGAGATATGGATAATAGATTGTATTGAAGGGAAGGGGTATGCAAAATATGTGACAGATTGAGCTTACGGTTGGGGGTCGGGAGGATACCCGCCCTTGCATGAGTGATCGGTACAGAGCTTCCATCGCCGATCGTTACATGACGTCTGATACCATGAAGAAACGCAAGAAACGTAGCAGATAGAAGAGTTTGAGAAATAAATGAAAAACAATATTATTGATCGATCTTATTACAGGGAACCACGAGCTGTATATATAGACTTGTCTTAGAGTTGCAGCCCGTACAGGTTATATCAAAATAAACATACACGTTATTAACAGAAATTACATAAAGACCTATTGCTCTAATACTCACCTGCTAGTTTAGTGTCTTAAACAAAAAATTGGGCCCAGGTTAAGGCCAGTCAGAAAAATTTTTCCACGTGAGTGAGTGACCAATACCTTAAAGAAATATCAACGAAGAAACAAAATTAGAAGGGGAAAAAGTAGAGAGAAAGTTATTAGTGTTCAATATCTTTTTCAAGTAGGTTGCGACAAAAGAACTTGTCTCCAACAGGCCCCACAAGGGGAAAAATGATTGGGTTCGGACACCGGATGACGTCCGGAACCCAATGAAAATGCGTCACATCACTCCCTACTCGGTACTGAGCTCGACATGAGCTCGGTACTGTGAAGTACTGAACTCATTATTTTACAGTACCGACTGAACTCGGTACTGTGAAATATCAAACGTAAGTTGTGTTTGATGTCTATACCCAATAATCTCCCCCCACAAGGGAGCTTGCCTTAGAACCATTGGGTTCCGCTTGCTAGGAAGCTCAGATAGAAGTTGCTGCCGTGGGGGCAATCAAGGGTTTCTATAGATCAAGCAACTTGTATATTGAGATGAGGGAGGATTTAATTAAAGCTTTATTTGATCCTGACATTTGTATGGCTCAATTATCATACAGCTTGATAAAGCTCTATTTTAAAGTTGTTTTGGGGTAAATTTTTTCAACATGGATTTGTTATTAGGATCCAGAAAATAATTATCAGAACCCTGTTTTCATTCTAAAATAATTATTTTTCTATGTTTTTTAAACCTAAATTTTATTGATTATGAATCTAAAAAAATTATTTCCTAGAAAAGCTTAATAAAAAAAAAGTAAATCACATGTAAGTAATAAATCTTGAAAAAATTAGCATTTTTAATTACACAAAATTTCCTAAGTCTATATGTAGCAAGTGCCACTTAAATACAACACATTTATAAATTGAAGCAACGGATAATTCCTTTAAATTTAACCTCAAGATTCGTCTCCTAAAAAAATTTTGATCCAATCCTTTTTTGATGATTAGGTGCATCTCTATATTTATCCTAAATAGATTATTGCAGATTTTTTTTCCATTTTGACTTTTAGGAGGTTTTTTATTTTTTAATATCATGATGCTAAATTTAGGATCTTTTATTTTCAATAATATTTGGTAATCAAATTGTTGATAAAAAAAATTTAAAAAAATTCTTTGAGTGTGGATAAACTTTTTTAACAACTTCACTAAATATTTTAGTGCAAAATACTCTCATTTAGTAGGATAATAAAATTC